CAAATAAGAGCTACAACACAGCAATAAGAGCTACAACACAGCAAATAAGAGCTAAAACACAACAAGAGAGCTAAAACACAGCAAATAAGAGCTACAACACAGCAAATAAGAGCTACAACACAACAAATAAGAGCTAAAACACAGCAATAAGAGCTAAAACACAGCAAATAAGAGCTAAAACACAGCAATAAGAGCTAAAACACAACAAATAAGAGCTAAAAAAAAATCACACTGTAAGGATTCAATGCGCAGGTGATAAAAGCTGTAAATAGTTCATGGATGTGCACACATGTTCAAATAATGTTTCGTCCACAGAATGAGAATTAGCAGCAACTCAAAGTGTTGTGTTGATCTGGTTACTGGTTCTTCTTCTGGGACCTGGCCTCATAATGTCAGCCTCTCGGTCAGACGCTTCATGGTGAACGGTTGAATGCTGACATGTTGCCGTTGGCTCACATGTGGAACAAGATAATGTTTCTCTCTGGTTTGGCGTCTGTCTTACTTTTTTTGTTTCAGAGTTACAACAACACCACTGCTGCTGCTGGTGTTTGGGTGTTAAACGCATCCACGCGCGGCCACCGGACCGACTTCACCCACAGTCGAGCTGCTTGAACCGGCGAACACGAAGCCGGCAGCAAGTGCCAACGTTGAATGCTAAAGTTAGCAGGTATGCTAAGTTAGCAGGTATGCTAACCGCCAAATTACCTGCCACAAGTGAGCAAACACACGTTAACTGACGTCACCGCACAACTACGACACTGTGTGTGTGTGTGTGTGTGTGTGTGTGTGTGTGTGTGTGTGTGTGTGTGTGTGACGGAGCTTCAGTGTCTCGTGTTCCTTCACCTCAAGCATCGATTGATCATCAGTCACTGAACAAATCACCGCTGATCACAACGATCGATTATCGATCCGGGAGCGCGCCCCCAGCAACGCTCGTGCACAAGCTTCAGTTTGCTCAGGTGCTGCATTCAGGGCTTCTCGTAAATTCAGGCTTTGTGCAGGAGCAGGTGAACGATCCCCGTTGACCGATGGATCCGTGTGTCTGATTGATGAGCTTACAGAACGCACAGTGACCGTATTTCAATTGTTTGTGTGATACATGTGTGAGCGATATTCAACTTTGGCATAATTTCTGTTCTCGCTTACATGTTTATCCACAGCTTGAGATACAGAGATACAAGAACTCGATGATGAACCACATGTTGGTTGTCGATGTGGTCGACTGTTGATTAAGGATGCTGAGGATTTTCATCAAAATTAGAGGAGGTAAACAATATAGACTTGTGAGCCCAGTAAACACAACCTCAGGTGACAGACATGACATTTTGACCTGTCATAGCATGGAGGACGCAGGTGATACATCCATCCATTATCTAAACCGCTTGTCCTTCGGGAGCTGCAGGGGCGGTTTGAGCCAATCCCAGCTGACATCGAGTGAGAAGGTTGTTACTCCCTGGACAGGTCGACATGTTATACTCGTTTTATTATGGCTCAGTTCCTTCAAGGGCCCCTGGGAGCCGTGCTACTGAGCCAGCATGCACAATACCAGGCTCCTGGAAGTGGCTCCTGGTAAATGGTCTGAATTCATGTCAATGTCTGCAGTAAACGAATGGCAGTGTGGAACGAACACATTTCGACAGCCAGTGTCTGTGATGTCACAAACCTAAGAAACCAATCCTGTAATTTTGTGGGTGGGGCTCAGCAGCTGGAAAAGGCTTCTCAACTGCAGGTGGCGCTGTGGAGACAGGGAGCAGGGGTAGGACCAGTTTTGCATATTCATAAATCCCAGGCGTGAAGGAAGGTGTAGAATAACATTTCGCTGGAATATTAACTTCTGTTTGTGACATTTATTTTTGATTTGTTCTACTCATTTATATTTCATACAGCATGTCACAGAAATTATAAGATGGCTGTCTTGTCTCTGAATAAACCATTAAAATATACAATGCTCATCTTTTGAACAGTGGAGATAGTTTGCTGTATCAGACAACACTGATTATAGTGTTCGTTACACAGGGTTAGGGTTTGGGGACAGACTTGTTATATATTACATGACATTTCAAACTAAAATGTCAAACTACACATTACATGAATTTAAGTTTAATTTGAATTACTTATTTAATGATATAAATCGGGGAGAAACGTCCTGATTGACTTACATTTGGTTGACCTGTGGCTCCATCTCACAAACTGGAAATACTGTAGTGCGGATCGTTGATCGCGGTGGTGGATCGTGATCGTGGATCATGATGGTGGACCATGGATCGTGTTGGCGGCTGATCATGAACTATGACGACAACAGGACTGCTTGATATATAATACGCCTACTCACATACTCCACCATTAACGACAATAACGTCTCCATTTCAGTTAATTGCTGCTGATCTCTGTCTGACGTTTACTTACGCATAAATAATTTAAACACTGACACACCTTCTCGTTATGTTACAAACTGTGTCTTTTTCAATGTGGTAAATATTGTGATATTGTTAATAAAATGTGTACAGTCACAGGTGGAGGGTTAAGAACAGAGGATGTCGCACCTTGTTAAGCCCTATGAGACAAATTGTGATTTGTGAATATGGGCGATACAATTACAAACTTTCAGATAAGTATGTCTTTTTCATTGCTTATAATCTAGTAATGTTGTTGGGGCTGGTGATACACTGATGCATTTGTCTGACATGTGTCTTATTTGCAGGTTTGTGTGTTGCCTTGTCCACTTGAGTGTCCTGATAAAAGACAGAGCTGTGGAGCAGAGGGGACATGCTGATGCTGCCGGGTGGGGGGAGGCTCGTCCTGTCTGAGTCCCCCCCCCCCCCTCGGTGTGTGAGTGCAGCAGCCGCCTGTAGAAGGAGCTCTCTCCGCTAATCCACCAAACGTACACAAACATGGCGACATCGCAGGCGGCCAGGATGCAGTCGTCTCTTCGGTGCGCGCTGTATCTGCTCGTCCTCGGGCTCGCTGGGATAAATTCGTCGACCCTCCGCGTCCACCCGGAGCAGCGCCGCATGCTGCCCCAGAACACGGGCTTTTGCACGATAGAGGCTAACGCGGATTCCCCGGACCGAGGCGGAGGTGGCGCCGCGGCGCCAGCGCTGCCCGTGGCCGACCGCGGTACCTCCGAAGGCGGGTCGGACTCGGGTACCTACCCGCAGCATCGAAGCCGCCGGAGCCCCGGTGACCCGGCCATGCCGAAGGTGTACGGACAGGTAATGTAACGCAGCCCCGGCGCTACAGCTGTTCACGTCAGTCGGTCGCGAGGGTTGTGCATTAGAGCTGGCGAGGATGTTCTTTACGCAAATTACGCAAGCCCCACTGTTGTTTTGAAGTCCCATCCTTTCTTTTGCACCTTGTTGTCGCTGTGCTGTGTGGAGGGAGACAGTGTGAGCGTCTCCTCCAGCCTCGCAACAACGAAGCCAGTGGTTGGAACACAAAAGCGTCTCCCCAGTGTTCACCTGGTGTTTCCAGTGCAGCTTGTGCAACGTTACACTTCAGCAAACATGCATTCACATGACTGCCAGCTCCACCTGGTCCCTTCTAATGGAAACCTGTCTCCAGAGGTGGACAACCAGGCAGCAGGGTGAGGATGAGGAGGGGAAATGGATGCCCAAGTTCCCAGAAACACTGTGGGGTCGTGTAAAGGCTTCAGGTGTTGTGCTTCCAGGTGTGTGTGTTTGTGTGTTCGCTGGTGAACGACAACAGGAAAGACGTGTTATTGCAATAAGAGCAGTCGCGTTCAGTAGAGGAGAGCACCGAGGGGACAGGTCTGAAGATGCTGTGTCCTCTTATCTCGAGAGGAGGAGGAGATGAAACCAAAAGCAAAAGTTTGTGTGAAGAAGCCAGTGTTGATGATATGGAGGTTTGTTAGTGTAGCTGTGCTGAATCATCTCCAACATGCACTGACTCACTGGTTTCTCTTTCTTTCACAAGAAGTTTGTTATTTTGGAGATGCGTAGTTTTTAACGGACAGACCAAAAGTTGAGTCAAGTTGTAAAGTGCAAGTTGTTAATACAAACAAAACAACACATTTGAAATGTTTAAGCTCCAGTGAATGTTGTTTTGGTTACGCTGATAATTAAATCAATAGTTAACTCCATTAAACGGGGAAACATTAGCCTGTAACAGCTTCAGTGCTCAGGGCAAGTTTCATTACAAAGCTCAGGCACCAAAATGAGTCAGAAACTGTTTTTGGTACAAAACCCCACAACTGACCAACAATTAAAACCCAAATCAGCAACTTCTCCCATTTCACAACCTTGATAAATCTGCTGACTCTGGAATTAGAACACATTCATTTTGTTTGGACACTCACAGGAGACGCATGAGAAAAACAGTGGACACACTGAAAAGGTAGAAGCTCCTGCTTTTTTGTTCCTACTACTAGTATAATTCAAGCACCAAAGACAAGTGACCCCCCCAATTCCCATGATGCATCTCATTGATGTATTTGGCTGTCCCATATCGTAGTTACACAATTTGTAACACAGGCTTCCTCTTTAAGTTCCTCGCCACTACAACCGATATCCGTCAATTGGACTCCTTAGAGGAGGTGAATACGATCCGTGTAGATCTGAAGGGAAGAAGGACATTGACACCTAGAGTGAGTCCAGTGGCAGAACGACACTGTGACATGTAGAACGTAGTTTGTTTGAAAGGTAATCTGATTGTCATTAAACCAAATGTGAATATTCATGTAGGCTCAGGGCGTGTAGCTAAACATTCAGCTACCTCCGCCTTTTTACATGCAAACGAATGAGACTATAGAGCTCTGCTGGGGTAACAGCTGACTACTGGTTTCAGCCCAGAATGCTGTTTTATAGTATTCACTGTTGCTTCTACTAAAATAGTTATGATAAACAATTTTCATGTCAGTCTATCAGTCAGTCATATCATATCTGTATGAGTCCCGTCCCCTCGTGCCCTATATGAATACATGTGCGCTCTGCCAGGTAAAGAGCGCAGAGTCTCCTTCACTGTTTGATATAATTCAATAATACACATAATATATGGATAATGGCAAAATAACTGACAAAACATAATAAAAACTGCATTGAGTGCACAGACAGGGGCGACCTCAGTAGACAGACTACTTCAGAAAACACAGGGAGGAATTACAAAGTCCGTCTTTATTTACATTGTGCTTTTTACGGCGTATTGTAAGACACTGCAAACAAACAGGCAGAGATGTGACAGTAACAGGCCTCTCTCATATGAAGCCATGTCTTAGCCTCACATGTTCTCTTCAAGTTTATAAATCTGAGAGAACGCTTTTGTATTTATCATATATTGAATATTATATATTGCTGTTTCGCCGTTTACTAGTGTTATAAATCATGTAAATAAACATGATGTAGGCCGACTGAAACCTCCAACAGTCGTATACTGAATGTGATCAAATACATGTTTCTCCGCATCCAACATTTTACATTTCTCCTCAGCAAAGTGATGTTCATTCTTAAATCATACCTGTTTACCGTCCATTAATAATAAATAAGTAATGCATAAGTTTTAATGATTGTTATTTACAAACGTCCACCAGGAATTGGTTTTAAATATTCATGGCTTTTTACAGACTCTGGGCTTAGAGTAACTCCTTTTTCAATACATGTTTACACTCCGCTAGATAAACTATACAAATTGTACAGTGATTTACAATCTGTGAAAATGATGGAATAGTAGCACTGGACTGTGCCAGGATCCATCAACTTTAAAAGCATTTCTCCCCCCAGACGGGCACGACAGAGGTTCATTGTGATCTGACATTTTTTTTAACACTTCTCATCATACAAAAGATCCGTTTTTTGCTGTTGCTTCATGCGCTCTCTCTCTCTCCTTCTCGCTCTCTCACTGGACACGTGTGTTTCTGCAAGAGTTCTGTTATTAGTTGCAGAATAATAGTTTGTCTCCTTCACATGTAAACAGTAACACTGTAAAATGTAGGATTTCACTGCACAGCAGCTGTTAGCAAAGAAAACAGGGTCGTCAACTCTTGTATTTGAGAATCCATGTTGCATTCTACACTAGCAAAGACCGGTTGTTTTCTTCCAGAAGAGGTTCATGTGATAGGCGCCGGACAAATCAGCAAAGTTTACGTCATGACCGAATCATCAAGCAGTTGTGAGTGTCTACGTCATTGTTTTTAAATGTCTTCGTTTCTCTCTACTATAAAACATGGCCTTGGAATGTATTTTCAAATTAGAATTTAATAGTATGGATGTAACCTCTCTCTCTTTCTCACCGTATCAAAACATCCATTAAGCTTTTACCCCCTCAGGGGCTGTATGTGTGAGCGTAGATCCTCCGAAGGTCATGTCTGATAACAGCTATACAGCTCTCAGCAGGTCGGCACACCTCGCTGTGCGTCAGATGCACATGATGGCATACAGAGTGCAGAAAAAAAAATCCTGAAAACATGTTTTTTACTTTGTCATGATTGTTTATTCAGTTATTGTCAGTTCATGTACATTTGGATGAAATCTACAACACATTGAATTGTGCAAAAAGAAAAGGCAACCTGAACTGGATACTTGATATGTACTCTTTACTTTCATTACAACAGGAAGTTGGAACAAAACACAAGTTCACTTTTACCTCACAATAAATACAGTGTTCTAGCTAACAGGAGCTAACTGGCTAGCTGAAGGTGAGAGGGTGACACTGACACTGATTAAGTAAAACTAGTCCCTATTATATTGTATATAATTTATTTATATGATTATTCATTTCGTAATGTACTTAAATATTGAACATTTTGGGGTTCCAATAGAAACGACCATGGAGTTGAATCGACAGCTGTCTGAGAGAGCGTGAACACAAACTGAGTCATTAAATAAAGGTTGAGGGTGTCTCATTGTGTCATATGGAACATGTGGCTTTAAAGCTTTAATGTGTAGAATTAAGTGACATCTAGTGGTGAAGTTGCATGTTGCAGATAAACACCCCTCACCCCACCCTCCTGACAGAGAACCTTCAGAACTCAAAGGTGTTTGGTTTGTCCAGTCTGGGCTACTGTAAAAAAAACATGGCTGCCTCCGTAGAGACGACCCTCTCCTGATGTCAATATAAAGTATTTATGTATAAAGGGCTCATTCTAGGTTAAAGAAAACTAGAATGAAACACACTCGTAATCACAAGGATTATTTTATCTTCAATAGATCCCCTTCACCTAAATCTTACACACTGAACCTTGAAGTATAACATGGTTGGCTGAGTTGAATGACTTTGCTTTTTATTTCATTAGCTGTGTTTCCCCTGTTTAGAAATGTTAGAGTGGTGTGAAGGCTCAGCTTGCTGCAGGAGAGGAACCTCCTAATGATAAGTCAAACGGCTTTAATCCTCAGATCTGCTGTTGTTTCACCAGCTGCTGCTGCTGCTGCTTGTTGTTCAGAGACAGTGTCACGGCTATTTCTGGTGTCCTGGTGTTACAATTACCGCTCTTAATCACCATGTGCTTGCACTAATGTGCAGTGTAAATAAACAGTAAGAGGCCACACAGAGACTATGCACAGGTTGTTTTTTTTACAGCACTATTCTGTTCGGATCACACTGCCTCACAATTCATGCCCGGTGTTTGCTGCTATTGATGAATGCTGAAAGGTTGTCACAGTATGGAGAAAGTGCATGACCTGAGCATGTCGTCAGATGTTACAGAGTTTTCTCTGAACCTGCTTCTTGCTGTGGATGACAGCAGCCCTGATGAGAGCTGTGACTCTGAACCAAAACAATCAAGTTACAGAAGAATGAGCTGGGAGATGCTAAAAAGCCCCTGAGGGGAACTGTGGGTGTCTGAAGCCCTGTTCAGACCTGGTATCAACAACCTTCTGATCACAAGTGGACAACGTAAAATACGTCTTTTCACACCTGGCATTAAAATGCGTCATGAGCGTCTCTCTTTTGACCTTTTGTGGTCGGATCTCACTTCCTACTCTATGTGTAAATAAACACAACTGTTAGTTAAAAAAATGAAATTAACTAGTTTTCACCCTGATTGAGTTTGTGTGTGTTGGTGCAAGAGAGAAACAGAGAGCGAGTGGAGTCAGGAGGAACTGAATGAACGAGTGTGTGCAGGCTATGAGGAAAGGTTTTAACAATTTAGTATCAGTCAATATGTGGTGATCTGTGTTGATATTTTCCCAGTGGCGATAAACAAATCAATTTATGGGCACTGAGAAGTGATATATTTAATCTGACCCAGGTCAAATAGGTCAAT